TCCGATTATTTATCAATAATACATTTAATTCAAATTACGCTATTTTATAATTCCTCTTTATTTCTATTTTCTTTATTTATTCATTTTTCCTTTGACAGTAATCATCATTACTAATTAAGCTGGCTGCGATGGTTTCGAGGGTAGGGTAAGGGTAAGTAGCCTTCAAGCTATTCGATCCGATACCATCGTTGACGGTAAACAATTCCTTTTTCCATCGTCTAAGTCCATATATTGCCTGTCAGCAAAATCAAATCAAAAACGTTCAAAATCTTTTCCGACTAAATCAGTCCAGATGTCGACTGGTCCACCTCGCTTTGGCGCTATCCTTCATAGTTTTGCAAGTAAAGAAATATATGTCTATTCCTGTAGTGGACGACGAAAAATGTACTCTAACTAACGAAGATGATATTCTATGATTGTTAACGCTAGTGATATTTTAGCGAATATATGAGATATGCAATCAGATATGAGATTTAATCTCCTCGACGAACCCGTAAATTGCATTTTGGACATCACTGTTCAAAGAAAAGTAGCTTCTTAATGTCCTCCATTCTTATTGGTCATATCTTGCAGCCAGGATCGAGCGAATCGCAATTATACAGATGCAGACTTTTTAATGATTTTTATAATGATTATAATGATTTCACGGCGAGTCCATGAAGATTTCATTAACCGAAAGAAAACTACTATCATCAGGGTTGGAGTGGACACGAGAATTCTTTGAATTTTGCTTGAAATATTGATAATTCGTGCATAAATTGATTTATTTGTTTTGTGAAGAAAGTTTCGGAACAGTTTCCTATTATCACCTTATCGAGCCGCCATACCCATTCTCAAGGCCATATGGCTCCAATAGCGATTTCTTTAGATTTCTTTACCGCCGCTGTAATTACTGCTGTCGTTGTAATTCTTGGAAGTATGCGATAGTCAGAATTTCTTGACATTCGTGCTCTGCGCATGCATTCCAATCTCCTTTGATTATGATCCGTTTCGTATTTCCTTTTTGAATTTTCATCACTAATTTTCTTTATTTTTTATTATATTTGTTGTTATTAATGCATATGGTACTTGTCGGCTTGCTTGGTTGTTTTCGATAACTATCATTATCATAAATATAAATGAGATGGAATAGCATGTGTTCATTTGCTTTGTTTAAATTATTATCATAACATTTTTGTTCATCATTTCAAAATCTAATTGGTTTGGTTGGCTCTATAGCTAAATTTTTAATACTTACCTTTATAATTTAATGTCTTAATCGAATAGTCAATAGAGCAAACCTTACGAGAAAAGGTGAGTGCTGAAAAAAAATGAGGCCCTTAAGATTATCGATAAACATGATAATACTGTACTAGCAATAGTTCATGTGAAGTTTCTATTGTTTAATCGATCAAGCAAAAATTATTTTTCAGCATAATAGATAATAAATTAAATAATTTGGAAGTCATAATTATCCTTTTCCCATAAAATAAGAAAGTGTTATTCTATACTGCGTTCGATTATTTTTATAATCTAATCCGAGTTTTATTGGTGAATCTTTCTGGCCAAATTCATATATTATTTTGCAAAAAAATTTAAAGTTCTATAAATTTTGTGGGAATACAATTAATAAAAAAAGAAATTTTATAATTTTAACGAGAAAAAATTGCCAAATCGTATTATTTAATTATAGTTGCGTTACGCATGTAAATATGGAAATGATTTCTGATTTAAGCGAAATAAAAATTAGATTCAGTAGTATCAAATTTTAATAAATATAATCAGATTTTCCTGAATTTATTTTTTTTCTGCCATCGGACTATTTCATTTCACTTTTGTCAAAAATTAATATTTATTCTTATATTTATTCTTTGTTAAATTAGTAAAATTAATATTAAAAATATCTAAATCATTTAATTGGTGAAAAAAATTGGTGAAAAACATCTAAATTTTCAAAATTACATTAGCAAATATTTTTTGATTTCCATATTAATCGACTACAATTAGCTTGTTTAATTGTTTAATCAATAAATGAAAAAATGAGAGAAAAAGGTTAATTTTAAAAACTATTTCGTCCTTTGTTAGGTTTATCAGCTTTCCGTGGTTCTTTTGAATTTTGGGTTTAAAATTTAGATTTTTATTTTCCTATTTTCTTTGTTTTTTATTTTTGTAATAATCGACTATTTTTTCAGAATTAACCATATACAGCTCTCCAAAATTTTTTCCAGTCAAAACATTTGTTTCCTTTACGATTTGTTGAGGCCTATTGCTCATAAATATTTCAGTTTATTCAGTGTAAATTTTAAAAACTGAATTTAAAAAATTCGCACAGACTGAGCCTTGAAATCACGAAAATTATTTGTGTGTTGAATATTGATTCCCTGTTTTTGCACCTATTGAACAATGCACTTTTGTTCAGAAATCTCCTAAAAGCATTCATTGTTAATGCTTTGGCTGCTTTGATTATTAGGACGGGGTTGTTTTGCCAGAAAAGCATTCGATTGCAAAAATTTAGCTATATCTCCAGCACCTCACGGTTTTTCTTTCTTTCTACATCTGCTATACATATGCTACTATGCTAGGGTGTTCTTCGGCGGAAATATGTGCTCCTAGGTTTGCTCCTGTTAGCAGAAATCGAACCCATTCATTTGTTCCCAGCTAAAACAATAATTTGATCATCTTATCCTTAGCAGATCAAAATATTGCCTCAAATGCTTTTTTGATTGATATACCCGTCGATTAAATTGATTAGATAATAAAATTATAATGGCATAAAGCATCATGTTTTATTTTTTATGCAATCCCTCTAATTTCTTTACGCTTTAACGCATTTTTCATGGACTACTATTAATACATTGTGTTGCTCTGCTGCGTTTTCTTGCATATCACTGATAACTATCGCTTATGAACTGAACCTGACGTACCATTTTCATATAGTATAATCTGTACAATTTTCAAGTTTTATGAAAATTTATTGTAAATTTATGAATTTATTTTGGTACATTCTGCCAATCAATAACAATTGACATTGGATGGGGATATGTATGCATTTACATCGAAGATCATCTGATACATTAATATATTTCTGCTTCCACCAAATTTATATTATTAAAAAAAAACTGATTCAAATTTATTTATCTGTTTCACTTTTAAATTATATATTTCATTTTCTTTAAGTTGAATTTTTCTTTTTTGTCGAAATCATTGCAGTGGATATTTATTTCTTCTTTACTTGTAAATTTTTAAAAAATAATAGCAATATTAATTGCGAGAATCGCGAATATTTTTTTTTCATTTCAACATGGCGTAGCAAAATAAAGCAAATGACATAAAATTCAAAAATGAATTTCATTTAGTGGTAACTGGAAGTAGGGAAGTTGGAGAAGCCCAGTGCTGTATTTCGGAGGCGGATGGAGTTGGAGTTCTATTGCCGGCAGGAAAAATGAAGAGATTTCTCTGGTTCGGCCAGCCAGTGGAACAAGCCTTACCGAAAATGGGCTCTTTAAAAAAAATTGGGAGTCGAGTGGATAGCTATTTAGATTATCGTGTTGAAAGGCAAAGATTCGATTAGCCTTCGATAGAAGCAAATCTTTCATTGAAAAATCCGAATTGCAATCTACTATATATTTCTATAGCCAAGTGTTTCCCTTGCAAAAATTTTTAACTAAGCCATAGGAAGGAATAATCGAAAATTATGCTAACCACTTGTTTATTTGTGTCTGCAGTTGTTACAGTTTTACTTTATTACACTTCTGTATTAAACTTTATTAAATTTTGTTATTAAATTTTGAGGAAATAAACAAAGAAAAGTTGGTTAAAATTTCACCAATAAATCTAAAAAATTTTTTCAAATATACCAAATGAACTAACATAACATGCAAAACAAATAAGTGTTCGCAGTTTCTTATTAGGTTTGTTGGCCTGTCGAACGAGACAAATTTTGCCAAGTAGTCTCTTGGCGATAGAAATAGAGGTGGGCCGCTAGTAATCAAGCCATTTAATGGAATTCAAAACGATGAAAGGTTCGTTTAAAAAGAATTTCTGCTAAATGGTTTCATTTAGTTTTTCAATTTTCTTAATTAAAAAATTCTTAATTCTTTAGTAATTTTTATTATCAAAAATCAAAACGATTTTATCGTAATTCCATTTGTTTATTTTCAAAAAGAAGGGAGAAAATTATCTAATGAGACGTTTAACACTTTCGACCCCGCTGTAAGCAAAGAACAGAATTTTCTATACATTGCATCCAAATAGGTTTTTTCTCAGCAAATTTATCGAAAAGAATACTGCGTTTCCTTTTCTAATAGTACTTAATTTAAAAAATCGCGTTTTTCACTGACAAAAATTCTTTTCTTCAGTCGCTACAAAATCTACTATTTTACTGCAGATTTATTTTGTTGAGTGCTATTGTCTTCTTTTTTAACAATACTTGTATATCTGGCTTAGCTGTCTTTATTGACTACTTTTTCGCCAGATGATAACTTGGGGATGCAAGTACAGTGTGGATTTCCAGCACCACTTGGATTTCACTTTTAATGGCAGATTTATGTGCAGATCAAAGAGAATCCAAGAACTCAGTTGATGTAGTATAATGCGATATGAATGATATGAATTTTCTATTTTAATTGTATTGTATTTGTATTTGTATTTTATTTGTATTTTATTTGTTATTTATAATTGTATTTTAAATGTTGGTTTATAAGAAATTTGTAAATTGCTTTTTAATTGTTTTTTTAATGAAAATTTTTAATAAGCTATTTTTTACTAAAATTTTCATTAAGTTTTTTAAAATTTTATTATTTTTAATTTCTTCTAAAAATAAAACAATAATATATTTTAAAATTATTATGCGATTATTAAAATCGGGCGATTTATTTCATCGGTATCGGTAAAGTTTTGTTAAAAAAAACATTTTTCAGATTTTCTATCGTTAAATAGAAATTTGGCCATATTTACTCATCGTTCAATTTGCATTCATTTTTTACCCTTTCTGTTTATTCGTCTGTTAAAGAAAAAAGAAAATGCGCCATCAATTACCGAATGATGCTCCTTGTCCAAGATTATGTTTTATCGAGAAAAATCATCCTTCACAGGTAAAAAAATTATAGATTCACTTAATCTTTATAAATATTAAAATCGTTAATGACGTTCGTTTTGTAGCGATCATCGCCCAACGAAGATTGTTATTTTATGGAATAATTTTGATACAGAATAAATTTTGCGACAACGATACGACATCATTTCTTAATCCAAATACATTGTATTATTTGTAGCCAAAGTTATAAAATTTCGCTTTTAATAATAATAGTCAAGCGAATGAAAATCGTTTACGTTTGTTAAATTAAGTGGTCACCATTTCAGCCTGTTAGTACGGTTAAAGAGTTTTGGTCAGTTGGTTGCAGGCGAGTAGCTAATATGACTCGCCAATCCTTTAATGAGAGATTTACTTCTGTCGGCAAGAAGAGGCGAACCGTTGCCTTTCAGCTCGTCGATCTAAGTCATTGTAAGTAAATACTACCCACCCACCACTGGTAAATAAATTTCTGATATTTGAAATTTTTGAAAAATTTCGAGAATCGAACTAATAATGTTTATCTCTGCGTTTTTTTCAGGAGTATGGTTATAATTTACATGCTGAAAAAGGAAAACCTCAATTCATTGGAGTCGTAGACAAAGGAAGTCCTGCGGATCGTGGAGGTTTGAAGCCTGGTGATTATATTTACGCTGTAAACGGTGTTAGTATAATAGGTGAAAACCATAAGCAGGTAATTAAATAATTTATGTTAATAATTTATATTTATATTTAAATTACAATTTTATGCGATTTTTTTCATTTATCGTTATAATAACCTATCTATATTCATAGAATTAGAATTTTTTTCCCTTGGAAAGTTATTCTTCTTAGAGATAAAATAAGATAGGATAAAAAAAAAATTCTTATAAATATTCTTATGATGTAACTGGCCTCTGGTTTCAGTTTTTAATGATAAATTTGTTTTCTTTGATAATATTATTATGATATTTATGTTAGTATAATTTTTATTGTATTTTTTGTTCTTTTTATTATATTTTTATTATATTTTAATTTTCCGCATTAAATTATTTCTTTTTGTGAATTTTATATAAAATTTTCAATTCTTATCTAGTTTATTAAAATAAACCTTAAAATTTTCCGTCATTTTCTTATAATTTAATTCGTTGTGGAAAATTCAACATTAATTGTTTCGTATTTATAATTTAGCAAGCTATCTTGGCTAAAATTCATTGGCTGCTGTGCAAGAGTAGAATAATTCGTTTTTATGACATTTTAGTTAAAAGTTTATTTTAGTTTATTTTTCTTAAATTCTTTCCGCGGACGCAGCGAAAGAAAAAATAATTTTATGTGAGTTTTGTAGATGTTCGAGTTAATCAATGAACTGTATGGTAATATTTATAAGAATGAGAATCGTGAAGTATTTATTGATTCTAAAAACTTATTAAGTGGAATAAATGAGCAAAAATGATTGGTGAAAAAATTTTATACTGGTTTATGTCGAGTATGAGTTTTATTTCCGTCACTAACTAATATATAAATATATTTTTTTTTTTCTGGCGTTGTTGACCTTGCAATTCCATCGATATCATTCGTATGCATCAACTGTTATTTTATCGATAATTGATTTTATCGATACATTTAGCATATAAATATTAAAATAGGCAGTCCAGCAGGCTCGTCATAATTTGTGTTGAATTATATTTCTTTTAAGAAGGATTCACATAAATTTTTATTTCTACGAAATATTCCACGGATTATACTTTCGTATTTTTTGTTTTCCTTGAAGTTAATAAGTTAATTTATAAATTAATAAATTAATAATAAATAAATTTTCATGCTTTATTTCATTTTGTCGACTGTCGCCCTTTTGACAGATTCTGTGAGTAGAAATAAATCGTTAAATAAATGTTGAATAAATAAATGCATAACGATTCTCATTATTAGATCATTGCGCATGTTTATTATGTTAATTGTTTATTGTATTTATTTTCTGTTAAAATGCGGAAATTTCAATTCAAAAATTATTTGGAATTTTAATAATTTTTAAAATTTGAAAATTTTAAATTTTTGCAAAAGTAATTGAATTATATTTTACTTATACGCAATAATTTTGCATTATCTTGTATTTCACAAAAAAACATTTGGAAACCTTTGCCTTTTATGTAAATGATTTTTTATTTAGGTTGTGCAAAGAATTAAAGAAAATCCTCTACACTGCGAATTACTTGTTGCTTCGGAAGAAGAAAGTGAATGGTATAAAAGACATGAAATTCCTATAACATTACAGCTTCCCAACATCATTCGAGTTTGCGATGAAAAAAGGGTATCTTATCTTTTATATCGAAGAAATATTTCTATGGCATAAATAATGATGACTAACAACCATTATTGAGATGGAAGCATAGTAATTTTTTATATAAAATGAAATGCTTTACTTTTATCAGCATTTGCCATATTATTTATTGATAACGTTTTATCTAATTTGTTTTTAATATATAACATATTTGCTCAAAACGTATCGTATTTATTTTCCCAGAGCCAAGCTTTAATGCCTCATTTGATTAAAGCATTGATTATAACAGCTTTCACCAAAAAGCGAAAACATAACGTCGGTGCACTATATTGTTGCCATCTATCGCGGTTGATTTGGGTCCGAATACAGATGGTGCACTATGCTTTTGTCAGGTGCCAAACAGCGAATGCAAAAGGCTATTATGGAGTAAAAATGAAAAATATATTCAAACCAGCAGTTTGTATTATGAACAATTATTGTCAAAAAGATTAATGATCAAGAGGTTGATAAGGCAGTTTTTATCAGAAAGATGCATTTTTATCAGAAAGATGCACAAGATGAAGTTTAATCCTATGCCGATTAGCGAATCAGAGGGTTCAAATATAAAATGATACGACGGTTTCTATAATAAGGAAGGCAAAAAGCTAGGCTGAGGAGTTGCCAGTGGACTATGAAAAGAAGCTTATATTTTTAATTAACAGTAATGACAAAAGCCCTGCATTCAGAGGAAGCGGACTCATCACAAAAGCATTCGCCGTTTAGTTACAACAGCTGAATCAGAAAATTTTTCATTCGGACAATAACAATAACAAAAAAATAAAAAGTATAAAAATATAAAATAATACAAAAAAAATCCATATAATAATCTATAAATCTATTGTTATACTATGGTGTATCCGTAGAAAACTTACTTCTTTTTTCCCAGTCTCACTCAGATAGCGAATTCTCTATATCCTAAATTCGTTTTACCGCTATTACGCTAATCTATTGATTATAATCCTTTCAAATGCGGCTTTAATTTTCTTGCACCTTCCTCGGAAATCGTAATATCATGCTAACACCTTCTGAAGTCTCGCTGAGGTCTCCTTATGTTCCAACAAATCTTTCTGTACTATTTTTCATAATTCATCAGCAAAATTACGTTAAACTTCCTTATTTCATTCCACAGATATCATTTTACATCTCCCAGAAGTTTGAGAATTTTATGAAAATTAAATTGAGAATTTTATAACCCTCCACACTTCAAAATTGCTTTGATTCTCTTTAATGTTCTTGTAAACTTCGCTTTTTTCTTCTTTTCCAGGTGCTAATCCTTAAATTTCATAAACTATGTATGTCCCATAGAACTCTCATACTTGTTAGCCTCGCCCATGGTAATGGCACATTGTGATGATGCCAAAATTTTTTCGTCGCAACCTGCTACACTACTTAACCCATCATCCTATATAGAAAATATTTGCCTTGTTTGAACCCTTTAATATCCTCAAAAACTTGTTGCGAAAATAAAATTCCCCCAAATCTATCAAATACGCTTCCCTCTTTATTCTTTTGGCTCGATCCATTATTAAACTCATTTTAAATTCTGTTTTAGCCACTTGAGATCGTCCACCTCCACCTTTATTTTCTTCCCTAATGCTTTGTGCAGTGCAGCATTTATTATAAAATTGCAAAGATTGTGATTGTCTTTTCGTAATAAACCACTAATATTTTCTAAAAAAGTGTTTCGGCACTTTTTTTCAGCAATTAAATAATATTTTAAAAATTATTTAAAAATTGTTAAATTATTGGCCAAGTTATTCTTTAATTCAAGTTATTTTATTGTTATTTTATTTTAATACTTTTTTGCTTTTTTATCCTTTCAATTTATTGAAAATCTGCCATGAAATTTCTTTAGATCGAGTCGGATAGATTTTCGCTAGATTCTCATAAAAATAATCTACACAATTCTTCACCCACACCTGCTGCTGCTGTTTGGTACGCACCAAAGGTTTGCTACCTTTTTTCCTTTTTTCAACTTTTATTTTCAGTAATTCCTATTTTTAATCTCTTTAAGAGGCTAATGAAGCGTTTTTGTAAGTTTTTTGAATGGTTAAAATGATTAACTTGATTGTTTTATTCATACCTTAATTATTCTATGACTTTTATTTCAGATTTAATAATTAAATATAAATTTTTGTAAAGCGGAAAACAAATTTTCATTTGTTGTTTAAATCATTTTTTGTTTATTTGTCATAGCGATTATTTATTCGAATTTGTCAGTTATTGTTAATTCAAATATATTAAATTTCTATCGGTTTATTGCTCGTAAAAGCATTAAATTATTATTTTTATTGCTTTTGCCAAGTTAAAATTCTTATATATTAAAATAACAATAAATATCGTTCACCTATATATCGGTCACATTTAACTTCAAATAAATGTGAAAAACGTGCATCTGACAGCGATAATGCGATGTATGATATTTTTTTAAATTTATATTTATATATATATATATTTCGACAGTTTATTATAATAATTGGAGCATTTGGAACTATCACTCCTAAATTAGAAAAATGGCCTCAGCAGATTCTAAGAATAACATCAGAGGCCTTTATCCAGAAGAGCGCATTAGTTAAGGTACTACGCAAAACTCTGAATCTTCTAGGCCTCTGGCAAAGGACGAGGTTGAGGATGATAACCATGATTATAACCACTTATAGGGGATGAGAAAATTTTTATTTATTTTCTTCATTTATTCATTTGAATCTTCAAAATTAATACCGATTGTTTAATAATTTAGAAATAATAAAAAAATAAACAAAAAAACAAAAATTATAATAAAAATTCATCTACGAATTATTCGAAATAGACGGAATTCATTTAATTATACTAATAATAATATTATTATTGATATAATTATTATTAATTAATTATTATTGTTAATTAATTTTCTTGGCTAATAATTCTTCATTAGCGTATTTTGCTTCTAACGTTGATAATTCGTAATGAGAGATAAATTAGCATTTAATTACTCGCTATTCTTATAATAGCTTAATGTAATTTTTTTTAAGAATCCTCATTACTAGTTAAACTCGCTGCGCTGGCTTGTCGCATTGGACAAATATGATATTCTTGACGACAGAAGTACAGGTGAATCACAATTTTTGAGCAGATTTATTCCTGCGGGAATTAAAACCTCAGCATTGGCGTTACCAATTGAGTAGCAACCTCCTAAGCCATTCTATCCCTAACTTATATAATTAATCTAAAAACAGCCTGTTTGAATTAATATTAATTATTCTTAATTTTAGAAACATTCTTGTAATTAGTTGATTGAAATGCATATTACACTGGAAAATTCTCCTATTAGTTTGTCATTATTAACGCAGTCAACGTTAATATGTTTTCATTTTTTCTGTTTACTTATTGGTAAGCTTGCTGATTTCTTCTAAATATGAATATTTGTAGTAGTAGTCCATCAATTCCATATTACCTTATCTCGTTTATATAAGGTTCTAAAAGCCTTTTAAACGTCAGGTTGTCCTATTTCCACAACATCTGGCGAGATTCCAATGGGCCAATTATCAGATAATCCTGGTCCCTTAGCATTTGATGCGATTTTTGTTAATTTGTTCGAAGACGGTATCCTACTATGCAACATCTAATGTTTGAGGTAGATAAAAGTGCCTTTGCACAAATATCCTTACCGAAAAGATAGATGTTGGCTGCGATCCAGATTCTTGTCCTTATGTTCCATATTAGTCGCGAGCCTTACCATCATGCTATTCCAGCGTAATCAATCATTCCAATTCAAAATACAGGTCACTCAAGGTCTTGGAAGATCAATCTGAGCATAGCCTGAATTGAATATAGGAAAACCTATGAATCAATGCTTTAAATATGGATCTATAAATTTCTTTATATAAAGTTAACAAGGATTTCATGGAGAGTACCGTGAAAAATGACATCTCTTGAAGTCAATTTAAAAAGCTTGCACAAACGAGGCATATCTGTATGCATTGTCCTGCATAGGTGAAACTAATATCAGCCATCTCCATCACCGTGGATGGTATTAAGTCATATGCTAAAATCGACATCCATGCCATAAACATATATGTCAGTTATCATATAAAGCGGGCTTAGTGTAGTCAAAGAAAGGCGTGAAGGTTGCCTATGGAAGATCAGAAAACTCCTCATAATGTATGGAAATTTCCAGCTTAAGTTAAATTCAAAGACTGCACATCGGCCGGGAAGAAAACTTATTAAATATCAAAGCTACAACACATCCTATCATAAACGAAATTTGAAGCATTTAGGAATATCAGTGAGATGGCACCAAAGGATGAACTGCTGAGGAAATGCCTGAATCATTAATGTACACTGGAAAAAAATTAAGCAAAGGAGACGTCATGAGATGAAAGTGAGATTCTCCATAGGGTGCACCATAGATAGATAGAAGTGGTGGCTAATCTCGAGAAATCCTACCAGTTGGAAAAAATAGGTTAAAAGATCACTGAGGCTATTGATTATATTAGCGAAAGAACAGATACTAGAAGGATTCAAGAGCACGGGTAGAAAAGCCTCAGAAATATTACAGCAGGATGTAAGATGGAACAGCATACATTGAAAACATAACAAAGGATCTGGCTTTATCTACAGCAGTATGTGCTTAGTATATGGCTCAGACCCTCCCAAGTGTAGGTAGGAGATTTCCCAAAAAATCTTGAAGAACAATGAGGCGAAGATCCTGTAGGATTTCTCCATTCAGACAGACAAGAAAAATTGGCCAGCCAGATATTGAATGTGGTATTAGGCAAAAAATCAGTAATTTTATATATTATATAATAATCAATAATAATTTTATATAATAATCAGTATTTTATATATATACATATATATATAAAATACTAAGTGACAGGAATATCAGAAAGAAGAAATATGAGAAGCTAGAGAAATACAGCGGCTGAAAGATGAAATAGAGAAAATGTGCAAAATGAAAGCCAAAATGATCCCACAGGTGGTAAGGGCTGTAGGAGCCATAACTTTCAAACTGGAAAAATGGAAGAACTCTTAAGCTCCTAGTTTTCTCATAGAAGATGGAAGTCTGAGGAAGCCCACATCACCCACAGGAAGTGAAAAGGGATTTTTTATATACCATCGCTTAAGTCGATTGATGATCACTGCTTCTGGGATCGGCTTCTATATCTTAAACGATTCATCTGTACAATTGCAGACCGCCCACACAAAGATATCTCCGGGGTGTATTTCCATCTTTTTCTGGATTTAAATTTCATAAACCATACCATTTTTAAATTATTCTTTAAATGAAAGTTTTACCTTCATTTAACAACTCTCACTATTGTTGTTCTGGCTGCCAAGAATTTCCAAGTTGTTCAATTCGATTCCATTTTCGACAATAATAGAAATCGTTACCTTTTCCATCGTCCAAGTCCATATATTGCTGGTCCACCTATACATTCAAAATCTTTCCTGATTGTCAGTCAGTACAAGTTTTGATTTGCCATTCTTGCTTTTGACGCTATCCACCACAGCGTTTAGTTTGTGGATCTGTAAACTCCTGTAGTAAGAGACGAAACTTCTAACCAGCGAAGACCCTTTGTGATGGTACTGTTAATGCAGTTGGAATCATGTGGGATTTTCGGTGGATCCATAAAATTTATCATAGACATGAGTGGTAAAAGTAACTAATTTCTTAAAATCCTCCACTCTTATTGGTCATTTCTTACAGTCATATTATAAGCTTAGGAGAACTGGAGCTATATAGAACTTTCGTTTTTATGGTGATTTCGCTTCGACTGCACGAAGACTTCGTTAACCAGAAGAACATACTCTAGCTCTCGTTGTCCAGTGTAATTTCCTCTTTTGCCTGGCTGTTTGGGGTTGGACTGGATCCAAGAGAGAATATTAAAACCTGGTACAGCCAGGGATGAATTGATAAAAATAGGTATTTTATTAGCTTTTAGTATTTATTTATTCAATTCATCCTGGATCTGATTCTCGCTGCAATTGACACATTTTTTAGCATCATTTGCATTTCGTCGTGTAATTAGAATTTCATCCTCAGCGTATTCTAAACCAATGCTCTGGATTGGTTTGCACACTTCTTGAATGTTGACAAACTATGTCCATTATCCAGTCTATCAGATAGTTGAACTATAGAGAAAGGATATCTTTGACGAACCCCAATTCTTATTTCGAAAGCATCTGTTGGTCCAAATATATACAGAACTGTGGCGATGAGTGCTGATAAAAGCCTTTATGAGTCATCAAATATTTTCTGAAATACCGTCAAATTTCATCACCGTTCAATTAATTAAATCTAAGGCCTTTGCAGATTCAATGAAATAAGTGATTATGGCTCGCTGATACTTGAAACGATGTTCCAGCACTCCTCTAAACGTGAATATTTTGTCATCACAATCCGGATTGAATCCAGTTTGGTTAAAGTGCACCCTATTGTCTCATACTGCTACATTCAGCAGTAGAGTAGCAGAAATTTTCCCGGAGATGCCTACTAAACTATGCTGTTTGCCTCGGGAACTGGGAGCAGAATTGCTTTCAGTTATCTAGTATTATTTCTTTCTTCCATACCAGAAAGTACATTTGTTGAGGGTATGATATGAAGGATGATATATCAATTTTGAAGAGTTGACTTTGAAGCGAGCACAGGCCATATGGTCCCCTATCAGCTTCCACTCAATTAGAGCAGAGCGAACTTTTTTCAGATGTAACAATCGCAATGCCATTTCGTCCCGACTTAACAGTGTTATAGCCAGTATCTCTGCCTAGGATCTAGTAACTGCTGGAGGAAGACAAATCTCCAAAAAATAGGAGACATCCACATAGTATTTGGAGAGAATGTGGATAGCGATTGTTTCGCTTGCGATATCCATAAGCGTCCAAAGCCAATATCTCGTCGCGCGTGAAAAAAGCAGTTTGCTCGGACAGATTTCGAACACTTATCTTAGCTCTAGAGGACATCTCATTCGCATACATTGGGAACTTTTTATTACGGATTAGCCATAGATCGGGAGTGGGGATGGTATAGTATGGTACCATATGCATGAAGATCTTTCACCATAGAAATACTTAGGAGTGCTATAAATGGGTCTGCACTAGCCACTCGAAACTTTATCATGAAAACTTGCCTGCAGAGTATATTGTGAACGGACTCCATTGACTCCACGGACTCAATCACTCAAGTTATCTAATCACCCAGCAACTAAAAAAACGAGTTCAGAAGCGAAAAAGTGATATGTGGTGACATGTTAGCTGATTTGATATAACAATAAAAGTTTGCAATAATAAATCGAGGCATCAAAAAGAAGCTAAAAAAATTTTTCAGACAACCTAACGATGAAAAGTAATTTTGAAAATACGAATAAAATATGAATTTATGAATTTCATGGATTTTTGAAATGATATCATTTTTCGGTTTTAATTTTTATTAATTTTATTATATTTTTTAATTTTGATTTGTTAAATAAAATTTTATTGTTAAATATTGCAAATTTTGTTTTTAATTTTTAATCAATTTAATTTAATTTCTCATCGGTCAATTTCTTTATGCATTCATAAATTTTATTTATTATTTTTGCAGTTTTTTATATAAAATTTAATTATTTTTTTTTTACTGCCAAATTTCCGTTTAATATATTTGTGGATGTTTGCGATTTTTATTTTTTTTTATATATTTTATTTCATTTGGTATTTCTTGAAAAATATCATTTATTATTAGCCATTTTGGCCATTTATTTAAGTGAAAGTCATCCTACGAAGAAAATTTATGCGATTATCGGATTATGGACTTTTATTCACTATTTACGATTTGGCTGGTTTTAGTGACTTTACTACAAATAAAATTATGTTTAAGTACCCAATATGGTCCGCTTGTGAATTATTTTGTGACTTTTTGACTTTGCAGGTTGGCTTTATTTTCTTATGAAAATTTCAAGACAAAAGAAAAGAAAATATTTGAAATTGAAAATGTTAATGAGATTTTGTTTGAAATATCGATAGAAGGGGGATGTTTTGTCAATTTTTTTTGTAGCAACGGCTTTTTACCTAGCAATGTTAATTGCCGATTAAATGCTTCAAAACTTCGAAATTCTCTCTGCTTTTTCTTATCGATTCGTTTCATTTCTTCAATTACTTATTTGTTATTTATAAATTCAATAAATTGCTTAAAAAAGAATTATTATTATTATAACGTTATTATTATTATTATAATATTATTATCATTACTATTAAACGTTATATCGTATTTTAATTTTAATCAGAATTACTTATTTCATTCATTAATTTAAAGAAAAATTTTTTATTGAACCATATCTAAAGCTTATTTCTACAACTAATAAATTATTTTATAATTTGTGGAAATTAAATCAAAATAAATTATGAATTACCACAATTTTTGTGAATGTAAATTTATTTGGATAAATGTGTGAAAACTGGCGAAATTCGTCATTTTTTAATCAATTCATTTATTCAATTCATTTATCAATCCAGCAATGCCATTAGATTATTTAAATTATTTAATACGAGTTATTTTATTTAGAAATTATTTTTTAAATTTATTAAATGCTATTTCATTGATTTTTTAACTTTTGGCTATTGTACATATGTATATTTTTTTTCTTCATTTTATATATAAATCGTCAAAGTTTTAGAAAATTCGATTTATTGAATTAGTTGGTCAAAGTTACGTGAATACAAGTGAATAAATAGATATCTTTTTAGGAACAAGATAAACCGATTTTTAACGTTCCTCCACCTCCACCAATCTCAGAAATTTCTATGATTAACGCACCAAGGCCAAGGCTATGTCATCTCGTATGTTTTTTTCGTTTTTAACTGCCAAATATTGAAGAAAACGTTGGTTGAATGAAATTAATAAAATAAAATAAATTTAATAAAATTAAATAGTATTTTAGTGCTTTAATTTTTTAAAGCTCATGAAATTCGTAGAAATTAAGATGACAAATTCTTTGGATAAATTTGAATGTTTACGTCGTTTTATAACAAACTTCTCCATGAATAATATTTTATCCATAAAAATATAATTGGAATTCTTATAAGAATTAGATTTAAATAATTTCTGATTTTTGCTTGCAAAATTACTAAATAATGCACTTTAATCTGCGTTTAAATATAACAAAAAGCAATGGAATGGACTTCTTAAAGTGAAAAGTTTGTTTTATTGTATATGTAATTCTGGTTTCATCTATTTTTTAGGAGATATTGAATAATTTTCCTTAAAATTGTTTAGTTGCATTCTTTTGTAATTTGAGTTCAAAAGTATTTCTTTTACATTTGCTAGCACTCTATTTAACTTTATTTTTATCCTATTACTCTATTTTCTTTGCTGTAGGGTAATTGAGTAAATAGTGGCTACTGATAATTGAGTAAATAGTGGCTACTGAGAGGCTCAGATTTTGCTTCTGATACGATTAAATCCATTAGGATTCCTCGATTTCTTGCTTTCAAAAATCCAGATGGTATTGCCATCTGTATCGCCTATCGCCAAATGGCTCTCTACTGAAGATTTCGTTAAAGTCAACGAAGTAAATATAACCAGCAATGATGGGCGCTAATCACATGGCGCTTTTATCATTTTGTTTATTGTTTCTAAATAAATAAGCTTATAAGTAAGCTTTTCTTCTTTTCTTATTTAATTGTTTTCAAATGATGTTTTTTTCAACTATTTTCAACAATTTTAGTTAAAATCAAAATTTTTCCTTTCTTTTATTTTATTTTTATTTTGATTCTTTCTTTTTCATTTAATTTTGTTTTTTGATTAAGAAGTATAGAATTTTACAAAAAATTCAGCTTTTCAAATTTTAAATTAGAAATCCAAAATATTTCTTAAATATTTTTGTTACATCGTTTCTTTTTTTTCGGTTCAGTTCAATTTAATAATTTTCATTTTCCTAAAATTTTATAGCGTAAAATTGATCCTACCGATGAGTTTGGTTTCAATTTACATGCAGAGAAAAATCGTGGTCATTTCGTTGGAGCTGTTGATAAAGGTGGCATTGGTGAATTAGCTGGTTTGCAAATGGGCCAGAGGATTGTTGGTGTTAATGGCCAATTAATATATCCGTATACACCGCACAAAGTAAAATTTTGTTTTTTTTGTTTTTTATAGCTTTTATTGCTTTTATTCGTGTAAGTTTGTTGCTTTTATTCATGTAAATACATTCGATATGATATTAAAGGATGTTAATACTATTAAAGGATGTTGTATCGCTAATAAAAATGGATCCACTTAGGACAGATTTGTTGGTTGCATCAGAAGAAGTTGATCAATGGTATGCTGAAAATCATTTTGAATATTCTTTTGATAATGTTGTGCTATTCGCTTCTTCAAAAAATTTCAATGTTAGTTTTAATTCATTCTCTCAAACGAAGTTTTTTTATTTCAGTTATAAATAAGTGGTTAGTGGTCTCAATATTTTTGATTAGGCTTGCTCCACTCACTATTGGTACAGCTAGAATTTTTTACCAGATTGCCATTTAAAGATGAAAGCAAATACTCAACAGATGAGTTACCACCATCACTAAGATTTTTTAATGATAAAAAATCGGGTCATTGATACTCGATATAAAATTAGGTTTATAACAATGCTTCAGAAAATTTTTCTGTAATTGGAAGCACTCTTATTACTTTAATAAATGGAAAATTAGAAAAAATAAAGTGAAAAATGCATTTATCAAATTTTTATCTACACTTATCACTGTTATTTTTATCGGTTCATGCAAACAAAAAGGGAAAAAAAGGCTTCACAAAGTGCGTCGTCAAAGTGCTTTGCCTTATTGTATGATAAATTTTCGTTCAATTCTTGTCGCATTATTGTTATTTGATATAAAATTTATTTTATTTACCTGATAAAAAATTTCAGTCATCGCCAGTTTTAAACAATCTTGCAATAAATGAAATGTCTACGGTAATTTTTTCTTTTTTCTCATTTTACACTTATAGAAACGTGTTGAATAAATTTCATAACTTAGTAGTAAATTATGTTTTAGTTTCTTGAAACGAACGCTTATTATTTGCTAATGGTTATTTAATTTTAAAGCTTAATTTAAAAAGTTTAATATCCGAATTTAAATTGAGTTATATATTTTTCCCAAGCAATAAATTAAAAATTTTCGCTTATTTGGCTTTTTTTCTTTTGCCCCCAGTAGAGTATTACAATTTTAAAATTTTCCTATAATAACTATATTGTTTATGGAATTCCTTTTCTTCAAATTTTTTTGCAGTATTCTTGTGATTATTGCTAATTTTATAGTTTTATAGTTCGCTATCCACGTGATTTTTTTCAGTTTTTAAAAATTATTTATTATTTTTTTTGAAATATTATTTTATATTTTATCATTTCCAGCTTATTTCACTTTCTTTTGATTGATTTTAGAATTTTTGTTCTTTTTTTTGTAGACTATTGAAGGGTACGAAGACCATGAAAAAGATATTTTATTGAATAATAAACCTCAGAAAGAAGAAGTTTTAATGCGTCGCTGCGAAATGCCAATGATAAATTTAAATGAAATTGTTGAAAAACAAGTGCTAGCCAGTGATGATATTGTTATATATGAAAATAATACTACTAGCACTACGGTCATCGAGGAAATTTCGTCGAAACCATTTCTACCTTCTGTGATATCAGGTAACAATGAAAATTATCAAAATCCTAATGAAGAATATGAATATGAACCGCTGACGACAACTATCGAAATGACTCTCAGTAAAACATCCGATTTATCAGTCAATAAACCTATTCATTGTAGTGCGGAAGTATGCATTTTTTGGTTTTTTAGATAGTCACGAAAAATTTTTTTTCGTTTGCATGAAGCATTTCGCAATTTCATTTACGCATTTTTTATCACAATTATTGCTAATGCCTGAAAAATATTTTTCTGTTTACTATCCAAGCAAATCATATTTTTGACTTAATTTTATCATTTTTAAAATATCTTTCGATATAATTACTTTCAATAACTGCTTTTTTCACTTTTTTTTGCAAATTAATTCAAATATTGCCTTTTTTTCGAATTCTAAATGCAAAAACATTTAATAAGATTTTTTATTCATTTAAAAAAATGACTTTGAGAATTGATATTCTCGTTAAACGGAATTCTATTTGTTATTAATTTTTTTAATTCGTTTTTCATCTATTCTTATCTAAATTTACTTGTTTTATTGATAGGGAAAAAATATAACCATTTTGTTTAATATTCTTTCTGCATTCTACTTTCGCGATTTTCATGCACATATTTTAGGCAAAAAATAAGATTATTTCAATAAAATTGGCGATTTCTAATTTTTTTATTTTTAGTCGATAAATATTTTAAATTCTTCAACAAAGAAGATAACTGCTAATAATGGTGAGATGGTGAACAATTCTAGCAATATGTGCAAGAAAAATGGGCAACAGAATGGATATGGTATGTCTCATTATCAGTTGTGATATAAACATTGTTTTCTTTACTGATATTAATAAATGCTATTATGGAAATTATAGGAATTTATTTTCGGAGATCTTAGAATAAATGAATAATTTTTTCTGATTGTTCGCATTCGATTTTCTCCAAGTTTATTTTTGTAGATGATGATATATTTTCGCTGAGTGCTGAAGAAGCACGAAGTCGACTTGTTCATCAAAAGAAAGATCCACGTCGCGATTCACATATGACATTGGAAGAAAAATATCGTCTTGTTTCTAATATGTGATAATATGTGACATATTTTTTTTATTATTTGTTACTTCATTCAACCATTTATAATGTCTGATGTACATTGTAGTGATTGTTTATCAACAATTGCATATCACATCAACCACATCAACTTCCACTCGATGCAATTTTTTTTCATGAAATATTTGAATATAGATGCATGCAATTTTTGAAAAATACTAAAATTGATAATTTTTTTTGTATCTTTAAATTTTTTAATAATTGCTTTTGGCATATTTGTGGAAGAAAAAGAAGGAACTTTTTAAGAAATTTAGATTTTTAGAAAATCCTTTTTTTTCACACAGACCTTTTCAAGTGAAAAAGTGGTTAGCGTCCTGGTTATGCCAGTTCCATTGTTATTATTTTAATATGGTTAGAAATTTTTGCCGAATGGTCATTTGTGATAGAAGTGTATCGCAGCACCACTTGTATAAATTTTTTAAATGGTTTTTGACGGAGATGAAATTCTTTTTTACCACATTGATTTGAACCACCCGCCATATTTTCAAACAATGAAGTGGCAAATCATCATTCATCAGATATTTTCAAAAAAATGAATTTTTTTAAAATTTGATACTTGCGTACTATTCTGATTTATGAATGCGAATCAGTTCCAATTATGAATTATTCAATTTTTTTATTGTGAATGTTCGATGATTCAATTTCAGATTTTTATGGTTTACGTTGAAATAGTTTTATTCGATATTTATGTATTCGATATTTATGTATGTGCACAAAAAAAATTAAGCAAAGCACGATTTTTAAAGAATTTCTTTTTTGGAATTTTTTAACAATGATTTTTTTAATATTCATGGATTAATGGGAAGAATTTTGTTCTCATCTATTATGAATAAAATAATAATTTCGGGAAATATTTTTTTCCCATATTTTCAAAGGAATAATAAATGAGAAAAGCACTGAGATAATTTTATTAACAATTTGACATATACTCATTTTCATTCGTATTTTACCTGAAGTCAGGCCCGAACTCCATTTTGGGTATTATTTGCATCCATTTTTCCAATGCAATTACTAAAATTTATTTGGCAGAATAAAAAAATCTTTGGATCTCATAGAACGGCTTCCAATGTTTATTTAACAAATGATTTGCTTGAAACGATCAATTTTCATTGCACATATTAAACGATATACAATAAGAATAAAATAAAATCTGTTTAGATTATAGAGAAACTGGTTTCTAGAGAAAAAGTAGTTCCTTACTTCGAATATAATATGTGGTGACCTTTTTCTAAGAGTTTACATGAAGTGGCAGTCGTTAGTTATCACATCATTTATTAAATCTTTCTATTTTCATAAATCTAAAACTGGTTCAATATTTTTTATCATTATTTTATCTGTTCGTGTCTATACGTGATTATTTTATTAGTTCATTATATTTCAGTTGGTTTCCTTTTGGTTTTGTATAAATAAAAATTTGCAGATCAAAAGTTGGAAAGGGCTATTTGTAACTATTTTTGAAACATTATTGTAATCATTATTTATGCTTCAAATTTAACCTATATTTAATAAGGTAATTTATTGTGGTAAATTGCTTTACCATTGTAACACTTTTAAACAGCGTGTTATTTGTTCGTTCGAATTACTATATTCTTAATTATTCTTAAAATATGTAACATGAATAGTTTTTGGGAAAAAGAGAAATGGATGGAAGTAATGGAAAATTTCAAATATGTAACGCCAAATATTCAACATTTGAAGGAATTGAATATAAATCACTGAAAAAATCAAAAATTGATATATATATATATATATATATTTATAACATTATAGTACTTTAAACAATATAAGAACCAGTTCTCTTCAAAAATTTGCCAATTTCGAATAGTCATTTTATAGATTAGCTACATCCCCAAGAGATAGTTAGTTCGCACATATCAGATACAAACACTATTTTATTTCGCAATTTGCTTCTTTTTAAATAATGACACGCAGTGAACTTATATAAATGATCCGTTGTTAAACGTTATATTTTTATACATTTACATATGCCTTAAGCATTAGACAGGCATGCATTGAAATATATAACTGGCTTGGTCTACAGGAATATATGCTCAATATAAGACCAGATGAAAGATTAGAAATTCGTGGAGAGTATTAAGGCCAAGATCCTGTGGGATTTCTCCATCCATACAGACAAGTTAGAACTGACCAGCCAACCAGATATCTGTTAGCGGAGAAGAACCAGCACTTGTGATAGATATATAGAAATACCAACTGACAACAACATCTGGAGGAGCATAGAGGATAGAATATGAGAACTTATAGAAAGGCGAGGTACTTACTGTAACATCTAAACTGTAAACTGGCCTCAGATTGAAGAAATAAAACTAAGAACAGCTAAAAACCTTAAGTTCCCAGGCTTTTAGTAGGGAGTTTGAGATTGAGAATGAACCATGTTGCAGATGTTGAGAAAGGTATTTTTTGTATTCACTCATTAAGAATTTATGGTTTGGGTCTTAAAGTTTTTCAGTTTGTATGGTGAAATATTTTCTCCTCGATCAAAATAATTTCATGTGCAAATTGATAAATAAAAAATTTTCTTGCAAAAATTTCTTGATCGAATAAAAACAAGATTCTTTCTTTTTTATTCCGTTCTATCATGGATCTTTTTTTTAAGAATTTTTTTATAACAATCCAACCAATGTTTAATAATCATACATTATTATTTATCATACTTAATAGAATAAATTTAAAAAAATAATAAAATAATAATGCAACGGAATGATGTGGTGAAAAATGCTGCTTTTGATTCAGAGCATATCCAAAGTGGTGCAAAGTTCAGTTAATTTATTCGAAGATAAAGCAGCGGTGTCCAAATTTCTGAAATTTTTCGAGTGAAAGAGACAAGACTTTTCGCTTTTATTATTATTTATTTTTTATGGACAAAATAATGCAATTCAACTTAGCCTGAAAGCACTTCAATTTTCTTATGAGAATGTTTTTGTACTGTATAAAAATCAATTTTACGATATGGAGGGGAGAGGTATATGAAATTTAACAAATGATATGATTGAAGCTTGGACGTTTTTTTGAATAAATACATTAGGTGAAAAAAGCATTCAGCATTCATATACTATACAAATTTCATTAGGAACAATAAAAATTACTTTCTTTTATTGCTTTTCTTCTTCTTCTAAGGTTTATTAATACTAATTGAAATGGTTTCAGTTGATGAGCTACGAGTGTGAGGCATTTCAAGATGGCTTTTTTTAACAGTCTTTTTCTACATCTTCAAATACCGAAAACTGTCGAAATTTTCGATGATTTTAATTAAGGTAATTACTGGTGCTTCATAATTCAAAGTACCATATCCTTCGTAACTTGCATGGCCATAATCATAATTATCGGGTCCAGTCTTAATAAATGAAATAAATTTTTTTAGTGCTTTCTTATTCTTTAAATTGACACCAAATAATTTCATATTCTTCAACTGGTATGATGAATATTACATTTTCAATTTCCGTTTTGAGGTTATGAATCCATACTATTATTAAATACAAAAATATTGAATTTATAAATCTGAATTCACAAATTCACAACTTCCACAAATTCCGAGAGCCTGAACTACATTAGGTGGAAATCGATGAAAGATAGCAATTTCATCCTCATTCACTCTTATCTGATCTAAATTTTTCAGTATTTTAAAGTTTAAAGTTTAACAAATCCATTGCCGGAGAAAAATATTTTCCTATTCAATAAAGATAATCGAACGAAATAATTACGATAATTTTAGTTCGAGTTTACGTTTTAATTAAGGTCGTCTAATGAGAAAGATATTTTTTATATTCATTCATTAAGAATTTATGGTTTGGATCTTAAGGTTTTTAACTTCAATTTTCATAAGAAATCGTTCTACTTTTTTACAATGGATTATAGGTATGATGTTTTGCTTCCCATCTACCATATGTCGAGGTATTAAATAATACATGATGATCGTGATGATAAAATCGGAAATTCGCATGGAACGCAATATGAGACCCAGAAAGAAGTCTCACAGTGAAATCACTTGAAAAGTCGGATTAGAAAAAAGTCATTATTATTTATTATTATTTATTATTTATTATTTATTGTTATTATCATTATCATTATTATTATTTTATTATTAGTTATTATTATTCTATTATTATTAATTATTATTAATTATTATTATTGATTATTATTATTGTTATTATTATCATTATTTATTATTATTATTTATTATTATTGTTATTATTATCATTATCATTATTATTATCATTATTATTATTATTTATTATTATTTATTATTTATTATTATTTATTATTATTACATTATTATTATTATTATTATTATTATTATTATTATTATTATTATTTATTATTATTAACCAAATTTTAAATATAATATATAAACAATAGTAGACAAAACTATGCCATAAACATGCATCCCCTAACAGTCATCAGACACGCAGCTGACATAATGAGTTGGAAGGCATGGAGACTACCGATGTAGAGACCCAGAAATTGCTCACAATGCATGGAAATTTCCACCTCCAAGTCTAACATCCAAATACTGCATAACAGCCAGAAAGAAGGTAGATGAAGTTTGGTGAGTATGAAAGCCACTATCCAAATTCGAGGCATTTAGAAATATATCAACAAGATGGCATCAAAGGATGAACTGCTAAGTGAATGTCTAAAGTATATACCGATATTGGAAAACCATCAAACAGAGGAAATATCATGGCAAAACTAGATCTTTTATAGGTTATACCATCGACAGATAGCTGAGGTGAAACTGAGAAATCCTAACAATAGCTGGAAGAAACTGGACTAAAAGGTAATACAGAAGTATTGACCATAGCAATACAGCAGCAAGCACTAAGCACCAAATCTATCGAAATAATGATCTACCAGACTCTAAGTGTAGATTGTGCAAAAACATCTTCGAAATAGTGCCACTGTCGCAGGGTGTAAAATAAAAGCAGAAATAGCAACACTAAAATGCATATCCAAGTA